CCCGAGACTACGGCGGTCGCCCGCTCCGCCTGCGCCTACGCCTTCTGCTCCAGTTGCTTGCCCAAGTGAGCGGAAAAACCGGGGGACGTTGCCGGGGTCCCGGGAAGCAGGACGGCTCGGCACTGCCGCCCTCTGCCCGCCGGGGCACCTTCCCGCCCACAGGCCGCCATTCCCTCTGGCTGCGACCCTGGCAGTGTCCCCCAGGTCGGACATCAGACCCTGCGGCCCCCGGTCAGCGAGACGGAAGCCCAGACTGACACTGCAGGGTAACGGGGACCCAGAGGCAGCTCTTTGTGGCCCCATCAAGACCTCAGCCATTAGCGGGGCTTTCTGTGTGACCGAAGCGAGGAGGGTTCCCCATTGCTTACATTTCTGTAACTATGGGAAAGTTACGTCCACTGTGTGCTAAGCATTGGGAGATACAAGAGTGAGGTCAGCTCTAGGAGGCGTGGAAGTGGGGTAGTTGGGATTTGCGTCTGACTGTGTGTGGGTGGGTGAGTGGGTGTAGAAACTAACCTAGCGCCAAGTGCAGTGCCTGGCAACCAGTAAGTCTCTGATAAACCTTCCGTGAATGAATGAGAAGGTTCGGTGACAGAAGGAGCAGGGCTAGGGAGGATAGCTCTGCTCATCCCACCCCTGCCTCCCCTGGGCTCACGCAGACAAAAGTAATTAGGTTGAGCCTTTAATCAAAGCTGGTTTTACAGGCAGGCAGGCATGGAAGAGGAGGGGAAAGCAGAGATCCTGGGGACACAGGGTGCTGGCCTGGCTCATAGGCATGCCTCCCTCTAGGACCCCCTCCACCCCCTCCAGTTTGGCTTTCAGTAATCTCCTGTTTTCTTGTCTCTCTCAGGACACTGGGTTCTCTAGGAGCCGCCCCAGGCTTAATGATTGTCCAGAAGGTGGCTATAAAGGGAGCCTGGGAGGCTGGGTGGAGGAGGGAGCAGAAACAATCCAACTCAGCAAAATCTGGGCACCGTGAGAGCCGCAAGCAGGAGCAGTGGTCAGAGGCTGTGCTTTCTGGCTGGTAGGGCCCGTTCTTCCCCACCATGGCGCCCCAAGGCTATGGCTATCACCGCACTGTGATCTTTTCGGCCATGTTTGGGGGCTACAGCCTGTACTACTTCAACCGCAAGACCTTCTCCTTTGTCATGCCATCGTTGGTGGAAGAGATCCCTCTGGACAAGGATGATTTGGGTGAGCCCAGGAAGGGCAGGGTGATGGGCCTGCAGGACGCATTGGGTGTTTGTGTACAGGTGTACAGTGAGAGAGAGAGAGAGAGAGAGAGAGAGAGAGAGAGAGTGAGTGTGTGTGTGTGTGTGTGTGTGTGTGTGTGTGTGTGTGTGTAGCATGTGCACAGCAGAGGCTGGAGGCCAGTCTGCATATGCGATGAGGCTTTGAGATCCTCGTACGTGGGTGCATGCAGGTAAAGGACTGAGGAGGGCTGCTTATCTGATGTGTGCGTGTGTATGCTTGGGACCCATGTGTACCCTTGGAGGCACTGTTTATGCTGAGTGTTGGGGGAAGTGTTCTGAGCATGGTTTTCACACCTGTGTGGGAGCATGCTGAGGCTACAGGGTGAGTGCTGGATATTGACATTGTGAGAACTGGGAAGCTGGCACAATGACTCCATGTGGCCTGGCAGGCTACCCTGCAGGAGGGACAAGGTCCCTGACTCCAATCCTGAGGCCTTCGCCCCATGTTCAGAAGTGGGACCACAGAACTGCTAGAGGCCTTGGATTGGCATCCAGGGGGAGGTGGGAAATCAGGCATATGCAAATCCAAGGGAGAGGAGCTGCTATGTCCTGCTCTCTTCTTGTCCTGACAGCTGCAGCTAAGTTATGGGTTCTCATCTTACTGGGGCTATGTTGATGGTAAGGCGGGAGAGGTAGCGGGGCCCTGTGAATAGTGTCAGGATTACAGTTCAGGCTCCTCAGGGAAGGAACCTGCCTAACCCTGCCAGGCACCCCTACATTCCTGACCCTATGCCTTCCCCACCCCTCCTGTGCCCTATTCTCTGGTCTCCTCAACCCCCCAAGGTGCCCTATTCTCTGGTCTCCTCTCCTGCAGGACTCATCACCAGCAGCCAGTCGGCAGCCTATGCCATCAGCAAGTTTGTGAGCGGGGTGCTGTCTGACCAGATGAGTGCCCGCTGGCTCTTCTCTTCTGGGCTTCTCCTGGTTGGCCTGGTCAACATAGTCTTTTCCTGGAGCTCCACAGTACCTGTTTTTGCTGCTCTCTGGTTCCTTAATGGCTTGGCACAGGGGCTGGGCTGGCCCCCATGTGGGAAAGTCCTGCGGAAGGTGAGTGCTTCCAAAGAGCCTGTTTGGGTTGGCATAGAGGATGCCTGAAAAACACGTGGGAGCACCCCTTCCTTCCCACCACCTCCACCCACAACCCATGGCAGGTTCCTCAGGAGTTCCTAGCCAGCTCCTATTGCTTGTCAAGATATTTTAGGAACCTAAGAGTGGTGGGATCAGGTGGCAGAAGAGGGAATTGCCCTGCCAAGTAGATGCGCCCTGTCCCTCATCCCTGTAATGTGAGCTTCTGGGTCTGCCCCACCTGACCCCCACTTCCAACATGGGCTGTAGGCTAGTCAGCTGCTTTGTCCCCTCCTCTCCACAGTGGTTTGAGCCATCTCAGTTTGGCACCTGGTGGGCCATCCTGTCAACCAGCATGAACCTGGCTGGAGGGCTGGGTCCAATCCTGGCCACCATCCTTGCCCAGAGCTACAGCTGGCGCAGCACGCTGGCCCTGTCCGGGGCACTCTGTGTGGTTGTCTCCTTCCTCTGTCTCCTGCTCATCCACAATGAACCCGCTGATGTTGGACTCTGCAACCTGGACCCCACCCCTTCCAAGGGCAAGAAGGGTGAGTCCCAACCCTAGCCAACTACTGGAGCACTGTCATTCATTCATTGGGCAGACTTTTGTTGAGAATTAAGCTGTTTGCTCGGTCCTGTGCTAGCCAATGGGTGTAGGGGAAGGGGTGGTGATGGTGGCCGGGTGGGATGTAAACAAAACTCCATCCCAAGAGGCACTTAAGTACTAGACAAGTGGCAGAGCCAACAAGTGCTGTGACTCATGTTATATTCTGGTCCTTCCTCACAGCACACACTTCCCTGTCCTGGGTTGCATCCCAGGCTTAAGTGGCTCGAGTGCCTCATCCACCCTGGTCCTCAGTTTCTTTTTCACTCACTAAGACTTGGAGCAGAGTAGGGGAGAGGAGAGCAGTGGGGTCAGGGATCCTCATCACACAGATCCTGGTTGTGCTGACGAACTCTGTCCTTGTGGCTGGTTAATGAATTGTGGGGGCTCAGGGTAACAAGGGCAGAGCCTGAGGCATGGCCTTGTCCCACCTCCAGGCTCCTCGAAGGAGGAGAGTACCCTGCAGGAGCTGCTGTTGTCCCCCTACCTGTGGGTGCTGTCCACCGGCTACCTTGTGGTGTTCGGAGTAAAGACCTGCTGCACTGACTGGGGCCAGTTCTTCCTTATCCAGGAGAAAGGACAGTCAGCCCTCGTGGGTAAGAAGAGTGTTGGAACAGGGGCGGGAATAAGGAACAGGGTCCAATGCAGGGGATGGGAAATCCAGGCCCTGCTTCCCTTTATCCTCTTTATTCTTTCCCTGAGGCTGGACACTACTCAGGCAGCTATGGCCAGTCACCCTTGGGGACCCTGTACCTCTCTGGGTTAAGCCGCTGTGGGACAACCTCAGGGTGTAACAGCCTTCTACTCTTCCCTTCCCTCTTCCCACCACAACTCCCCACTGCAGGTAGCTCCTACATGAGTGCCCTGGAGGTTGGGGGCCTTGTAGGCAGCATCGCAGCTGGCTACCTGTCAGACCGGGCCATGGCAAAGGTGAGTGGGCAGAAGGGACAGGAAGGAGAAGGGTCCCTTTGAATCTTCCCAGTATGGCTGGGACAGGCACTGGAAAGATGGGAGTCCTGGGACACCGGCAGGGTGGCATATGCTGGCTTAGATTGGGTGAGGTGGGAAAGGTTCGGGCTATGTAGCTTTCTTGGGGATGTAGAAGTGAGGCCCTTGGGGAAAGAGTTTTAACTGATGTCAAAGAGAGCCAGAATTCCTCTCAGCCTAGCTGGCTGGCTTCTTCCCAGGAAGATGGGGGCTGGAACAGAGTAGGTGCAGCTTCCTAGCACGTGTTCCAAGCCTGCCTCAAAGTGGAGGAAGGGATGTTGTGGAGTTTGGCCTCAGAACATAATGAGCAGGTCCCAGGGCCTCCCAGGACTGCCTGGGGCCAAGAACTGTGGTGGGATTGCCAAAGACCTGTCAGCAGAGGCTCTGCTGTGTCAGAGTCCAGGGGTGGGAGTTCTCTGCCCTGTTCAGAGTGCCTGACATTGCTAGGACTGTTTCCGTAGGCGGGGCTGTCCATCTACGGGAACCCTCGCCATGGCCTGTTGCTGTTCATGATGGCTGGCATGACAGTGTCCATGTATCTCTTCCGGGTAACGGTGACCAGTGATTCTCCCAAGGTAATTAAGGAGGTCCTGGCTCAAGACAGGACCAAGGAGAGAAAGTAAAGGCCAATGACCTCTCAGTCTCCCCCTCCATGGCTCCAGCCTGGGCCTTGCCTTTCTCCGTCTCAGATTTCCTTTTTCAGTTCTGATTGTGCCTCAGTCCCTCTCCTCTGCATTTTGTTTTCCCTCCTCCACTCTGGGCCTGGTTTTCTTCTCTTCCCTGTGCTTCTTTAGGATGTTGCTTTCTGGACTCCGGCTCTTCACCCTCTTGCTGAGCTCACAGGCTTTACGGAACGCGAGGTGCCTTAAAGATATCTCTGGTTTTTCCTGGTCTGTCTCACCTTTGTCCTTCCCCTCTGCCTTGCCCCTAGCCAGTCCAGCTTGGGTAAATTGTGAGGACAGCACCTGATTCAGAGGGATGGCTTCTGTATGTCCTTCCCTTGCCCACATAGGCCCCTAGGTTGGCTCAGCATGGCATCTGCTACTCTAGCTATGTACTGTCAATTGGGGGTGGGATAAGGGGGTCATTTACTGTCCCTTTACTACTGTTTGTTCCTGGGGACCAAGCACTCCTCTCTCTGGCAGGGGCACATATGCAGGTAGGTGCTGACTCTGAATGTCACCCTCTGTTGCCCTTGCAGCTCTGGATTCTGGTGTTGGGAGCTGTGTTTGGTTTCTCCTCTTATGGTCCCATTGCCTTGTTTGGAGTCATAGCCAACGAGAGTGCCCCTCCCAACTTGTGTGGCACCTCCCATGCCGTTGTGGGACTCATGGCCAATGGTAAGCGTTACCTCCTAGACTCTCTGCCTCACCCCTACTTGTGCCTTGCACACAGGCCAGTCAGAGGCTGGGGTAAGCACCACTGGCTCTAGCCGCACAGATGGCTCAGCTCTTCCCTTCTTCCGACAGTGGGTGGCTTTCTGGCTGGGCTGCCCTTTAGCACCATTGCCAAGCACTACAGCTGGAGCACAGCCTTCTGGGTAGCTGAAGTGGTTTGTGCAGCCAGCACAGCTGCCTTCTTCCTCCTACGAAACATCCGCACCAAGATGGGCCGCATGCCTAAGAAGGCTGAGTGAAGAGAGTGCAGGTTCTGGAACACCATCCCACCTGTGGCCTGCTTGGGGGAAGAAAGGGAGGGAGGGGCTGCTTGGCTCCCACTTAACCTCTGAGTTTGTTTCTGTGCCGTATCCCTCGCCCAGGTGGCGCTGGAAGTTATCAGTGGCTAATGAGGTCCCAGCGCCCCATCCCATGCTCTATTTAAGGTAACCTTTGTCCTTGGACTCCATTAGCTCCTATTCCTGCCTTCAAACAACAGGAAACTTCTGCAGTCAGGGAGTCTCCTGCACCCTTCTTCCTCTCCTGGGCCCTGTCCTGTCCCCATCCTACCTCATCCCTACCTGAGGTGAGGCTGATCCTGCAGCTGCAGGGCCCCAAAGCCCTAAGTCCTTTTAGCAGTGGGCAACTGCTATTGCCAATACCTCAGACTTCAGGGGAAGAGAGGAAGCCATCACTCTCACTAATGCCGCAGGACACAGGGGATATGGGTGGGAGGGCAACATGACTTGTTACAGAAGATTAAAACTAGATTTGATACTAAATACTGTCAGTGATTCATTCTTTCAAATGGGTATTATAAGCCAAAGACAGCTTCCTTGGAAAATACTATTGAGACCTTCTCTTTCTCAAAAGGGAGAGACTTCATTTCCCAGAAATGGGAAAGCTGAAGTGTAGATAGATTCCTTTACGCTCACGTCTCCTCTGCCTTCAGCTGAACACTGTATATAGTTCAATGACCATTTTATTTTATTTTGGAGCTGGAATCTCACTCTGTCCCCCAGGCTGGAGTATGGTGGCACACTCGTGGCCACTGCAGCCTTGCCCTGTTGGGCTCAGGTGATCCTTCTGCCTCAGACGTCCAAGCAGCTGGAGCTACAGATGTGTGCCACCACGCCTGGCTAATTTTTTTTTTTTTGGTTTATTGTAGAGGCCTCCCATCATTGACCATTTTAGAGATGAAGCTGGCCGGGCATGGTGGCTCAGGCCTGTAATCTCAGCACTTTGGGAGGCAGAGGTGAGGGGATTGTCTGAACCCACAGGTTTGAGAACAGCCTGGGCAACTGGTGAGACCTCATCTCTACAATAAATCAAAAAAATACACACCTGTAGTTCCAGCTACTTGAAAGGCTGAGGTGGAAGGATCGCCTGAGCCCAGCAGGTCAAGGCTGCAGTGGCTGTGAGCATACCACTGCACTCCATCCTGGGTGACGAAGACTCCAACTCAAAAAAAAATGACACATCCTAGAAATGAAGCTACTGGAAAGCCTGGGTTCAAATCCAGGCTGTCAGTAACTAGCCTGGAAACTCCGAGGCACAGATAATTTGTACCTCGCTAAAGCTTTTGTCTGTAACAGAATGTACACTCTGAGTTAGGGCGAAGATTAAGTGAGATAAAGCAGTAAAGCCTGGCTGTGCTTAATAAATGTTCCATCACCATCACTACCACTACCACCCTCAGGACCCCAGAAAATCAGCAATTCTGGGAGTAGATCCAAGACTCATGATTCAGAAGTCTTATGGTCATTTATTTAATGAACACACATTTGTTTTTGTTTTGTTTTTTTGAGTTGGAGTCTCACACTGTCGCCCAGACTGGAGTGCAGTGGCCGCTCCCGGCCACCGCAGCCTCGACCTGCTGGGCTCCGGTGATCCTTCTGCCTCAGCCTTCCATGCAGCTGGAACTACAGGCACGCGCTACCACCCCCCGCTCATTTTTTGATGTATTGTGGAGATAAGATCTAGCCAAGTTGCCCAGACGGGTCTTGAACCCGCGGGCTCAGGCAATCCACTCACCTCAGCCTCCCAAAGGTACGGGATTACAGACTGAGCCACCCCCAGCTTGTTTTTTTCTACCCGAACACAGTATCTTCCCAGAATGCCCTAACCATTTATATGTAAAAACCATCAATTAGACACTGAGGTCAGGAATATTTATTACAGCATCTGTGGACCTACCTCCTCCCTAAATAAATGTGTACAGAGTTGGAAAGTAGGACCATGATATACACAGAAGGAAGCAAGCATGGTAATAAGGCTCAGGCATCAGTACGTGTCCTCAGGCTCAGCATGCTCCCATTTTCAAGTGCACGAACAAGGCTGCTGAGATCTCCACTGGAGTGGACACAGCAGTACCCCTGCTGCAGAACTTGGGGATTTTTTGATCCCCAAAATTTGGGGATCCATTGGATTTGGGGATCCATTGCAGGTTTGGCCTATGACCCAGGTCCAAAAGTCCCAGCCTTCTCTGCCACCTCCAGGGCTAGCTTCAAGTTCTGGTCAAATAGTTCACACCTAAGCCAGGCCCAAGAGATACAAATAAGAAAAAAGTGTGAGTTCTGAGGCTCTCTCACCACTCATGCCAGGGGAAACTACTTGAAAGACATGAACCACAAGGAGAGTCTGGTTTCTCATGATAAAGAGCTAGTCACTGTTGTCTTATTCAAAAGTACTACTTTAGTACATATCAATGACTGGGCAGAGCACACAGGGAGGGAAAAGGAGGCTCTGACCAGTATCAGGGGAACGGCACCACTTACCTTATGGGCATTTCCAGGGAGTAGAATGGATTCTTGAGGGCATAGTCTGAATAAATCTCATAAATCTTTCGGAGAAGAGAATCTATTCCAGCTTGCCTAGGATCTGCCAGTACCACAAACTTGATCCCTGGATAGAACCGGGAATGATTAAGGGGTAGAGAATATTGCAAACATCATCCTGTATTCATACAGCACTTTTAACTTTGCAAGACACTTTCATAAGCCTATATTTACTTATGAGTGAGTCAGGGTCTCTGTTGCCCAGGCTGGAGTGCAAGGACAAGATAATGGCTCACCGCAGCCTCAACCTCCTGGGCTCAGGGGATCCTCTTGTCTCTCAGCCTTCCAAGTAGCTAGGACTATAGGCATGCACCATCACTACCAGCTAATTTAAAGAAATTTTTTTTGTAGACCAGGCTGGTCTCAGAACTCCTCCTCTCTCAGCCTCCCAAAGTGCTGGGATTATAGGTGTCACCCTCCATGCCCAGCCCATAAATCCATTTAAATTTCATCTTTATTGCCACATAATGCAGGAAAAGACTAGAATTTTAATCTATGAGACCAGAGAAGTGGAGTAACTTTATCGTGTCACTCAGCTGATTGAGACCGCATTTTGAGTTCTAGCTCAGCCGCTTTCTTGCAGTCTCTCAGCAGAAACAATGCCAGGCAGGGGACAAACTTAGGCAGTTTTCAATCATCTAAATTAAGAATGAAGCAATGACACAATCCAAAGGCCATTTTCACCTGGCTTTCAAATTTCATGTTGGAACAACACACCTTCCAAAATGTGTGCAACGTGAAAAAAGTATTAGGGTTTTATGTGAACACAAGATAATCAGGACTGAGCACGCTGGGTGACGTGGACAAAATCAGCTGCAGATTAAATATTGCCTTTGGATTCACAAAGCAAATACAAATAGATGTCTGTTGAATTGTCCCGGGAAAAGCTGATACCACCTCATTCCTTGCTTACCAAAGCTATCGCTGGTCAATCCCTTCTCCCAACCTGCCCCACTGCATCCCTCTGGCCTATCTGGAGATGCATACCTGTCAGCGTCTGGAAGCAGTGTAGTTTGAATGTGTCCGTCTCTAGCATCTCAATGCCTGAGCTTCCTTGTTCAGGAGACAGTTGGGAGCCGATGGCAAAGAGCCTATATGCAAAAGAGGCAAAGTTGAGACTGCACCCCATTGGTGTGAAGGAGGGGTGCCTCCCAAACCTCCCCTGAAGTGACCCTCTTTGCTGAGGAGTTCACATTATAGCTTGGGACAGTCAGGAAAGGTAACTGTCTGGCAGCAATGTCAAAACTTCTTTTAAATTCAAATGAAACCTGCCTATATTTTACATAACATTTCTATAAGACATTTCACATCGAAAACTCTGGGGAAAATAAACACTCTAGGAAAATGTGCCATGCTTACTTAATTCATGGCTAAGAGCAGACCACTACCTCTCATACCATATTTGAGAGCAGAAAACGATTTTTTTTTAAATTGCTTTTTTTTAGAGGCAGCTTCTCACTCTGTCGCCCAGCCTGGAGTGCAGTGGCATGATCATAGCTCACGGTAACCTCCAACTCCTGGGCTACAGCGATCCTCCCACCTCGGCCCCACAAAACGCTGGGATTACAGGCGTAAATCATCACCATGCTCGGCAGGGGAAAGCTTTGTAAAAGATTCCGCTAAGTTTGCTTTCTTTAAATATGAAGAACTAAGACTCAGAGAAGAGAAGCCGTCTTAAGTAAGATCACACCACTATCAGTAGTACCTAAAACCCAGACATAGCGAATTACTTGCTTTCCTTTTCATAACCCAAGAACCGACGACTTAAGAGGCGGCAGAGAAAGGTAAGCACTGACGCTTAGGAGACTTACGAGTGGAACATGGAAGCCAGCATGAGCTTCTCATTAGAGGTGAGGCGGGGCCGGCCAAATCGAATGGACACCGGGTAATTAGCAGGGTTACCCAGATACTCCAGCACCTCTTTCCCGTCGGCTGTGTACTTGCCGTTCACGTCTATGCCATTGATGGCCAGCACTGCGTGGCCCACTACAGAGGTGAGGTTAACGGTTAGCGAAGTTCCAGCCCCGGGATTCTGCCGAGGGAGACAAGGGACCCGACCCCACTCCCTACTCCCAGCCTAGCACCTACACACCAGCCCACTTCAGCAGCACCGGGACCCGCCCCCCGGGCCGAGTCTAGCGCACCCCGGATGCCGTCGCGCTGGCCAAAGGCAACCAGCACACGCTCATCGTGTAGCTTGAGCAGCAGGTCCAGCGGGTAACTGAACGTTTTCTCAGCCTCAGACCGTGGCGCGTAGCTGTCCAGCTGGTAAATCAGGCCTCCAGCTTTGTTCACCACATACACACTAAAAATCGCCATCGCTGCCGCCGCCGCTCGAGTTCTCGGACTCGGCCCCTTCCGGAAGGCCCCGCCCCGGAACCGCAGCCGCTCTACCAGCTCTAGTCCGCCACCCCAGCTTTCTCCTAGCCCCAGCGCGCCGCAGCCTCCGGCGCTTGCGCAGTTGGAGCAACAGGCTTGAGCTAATGCCGGAAAGTTAATTGCCGGGACCTGGTAAATTGGTTTTCGTTCCTCGGTGCAAGAAAATAGGACGGCTTCGCAATAAGCAGCAGAGTCCAACAGCCTGGGAGCAGTGTTTAAAGTATGCGGCTTGGACTTTGGAGTCCACTTCCTCCACCCAGCCTCTAGCCAGAAGGCGGTAGTTCGCCATGGAACGTCCTCCGTGTGGCTCCGCCCCTTGCCCCGGAAGTACTTACGGCGGACACAGGTTTCTGGGCTCGTACGGGAGCCGCACTTCCTTTTTGTCCGACATCTTAGCGAGGCAGCGGTGGTGTCTGCTGCTCTCCGAGCTTCGCAATGGTGAGCCTCACTGGTGTGAATCCGCGGGATTCCGAGAGAGGGGCAGTGCTAAGGTTCAGTGGAGGTGGCATCGGACGAGAGGGCTCCTTGGTCTTAGGCGGGCGCGGGTACCGCTTCTTCCATGTGCTCTTTTGCGGGGGGATGGGAGGGGAGGGGAGGCACGGTATTAGAGGAGCTTGGGGCTGCTTCAGGACCTGCCTGCATTCCTGCTCTTCTTCTACAGCCGCCCAAGGATGACAAGAAGAAGAAAGATGCCGGAAAGTCGGCCAAGAAAGACAAAGACCCAGTGAACAAATCTGGGGGCAAGGCTAAAAAGAAGGTAGGAGTGAGCCCCACTCTGAGGCAGTGAGTGAGACTGGGGGTGCCGTCCTGTAGCCCTCTAAGAATAAGTGACGCGTGTAGCAAGTAGTTTGTCAGGTTGTAGGTTCTAGAGTGGGTGGTTCTAGTTTATCGTCTCATCGCCACTAGTTTTATTTTTCCTCATTTGAGAGGTGGGATGGCACATATTACTTTAAGTAGGTGAAACAACCGAGTAGTGTCTGCTCCAACGCCTGGCACATGTTATTTTTTAACTGGTACTGTTGGGACCACTTATATTCCAAGACACAAACGTGTCGTTTGTTTTGTGATCTATAATTTATCTTTGATAACAATGGGATTTTACTGATACAGACCAATTAGGAAAGAATAGGTGTTTCTGCCAGAAGTACTAACTTGGTTTTTTTGTTTGTTTGTTTTGGTGAGCAGAAGTGGTCTAAAGGCAAAGTTCGGGACAAGCTTAATAACCTAGTCTTGTTTGACAAAGCCACGTATGACAAACTCTGTAAGGAAGTTCCCAATTATAAGCTTATAACTCCAGCTGTGGTCTCTGAGAGACTGAAGATTCGCGGTTCTCTGGCCAGGGCAGCCCTTCAGGAGCTCCTTAGTAAAGGTGAGTGTGTTGTACTGGTGTGGTTTTGCAGGTTAAGTTGTCTTGACCATGTTGGCCATCTTAAGTGCTTTTACTGACAAAGCAGGATAAAAAAAAAAAGATACAGTCTGATTTGGCTGTTAGCAGTATAATTCTAGTGTCTTACTGAGATGGGTTTTTTTTTTACTTTATTTTTTGAGTCAGAGTCTCACTCTGTCACCCATGCTGGAGTGCAGTGGCACAGGCCACCACAGTCTTGACCTGTGCCATAGACCTTGTAGGAGTGTAGTGAAGCCCAAGGATCCTTTACATTGCAAGAATAAATGCATAGGATTAAAGGGAAAACAATTTTTAGCAATTACCATTTGGAAATAATTTTGAAAGTTTAAAATCATAATGGCAAAATAATTTTTGTTGATGTATTCAGTTGTAAACTTGGAAATATGAACAGTGAGTCTGAGTCCATAATTTCACACTTAACTAAGGGTAAATTAATATAATACACTGATAGGGTATGGAAGTAGTTATTTGAAGTGATTGTAAAATTTTGAAGAGTGGCTATCCCGAGTAGGTAATAGACCCTTAGAGATGCTACCACAGTGTCTCAGATTAAGCAATTCTAGATCCTCAGGTGGTGGCATATTTGTAATCCCTGCTACTTAGGGAGTTGAAGCAGAGGGATCTCTTGAAACCAGCCTTAGGGAACATACTGAGACCCTGTCTTCCAAAAAGAAAGCTTAAGCAATTGTTTCAGGAAGAGATAGAAAACTTGTCACTTTATGGCATCTATTGAGTGCCACTAATCTTTTACCCCAGGTCTTATCAAACTGGTTTCAAAGCACAGAGCTCAAGTAATTTACACTAGAAATACCAAGGGTGGAGATGCCCCAGCTGCTGGTGAAGATGCATGAACAGGTGAGCAAAAACTCATAGAAAGTACACATCCCTCTCTGTAAGGCTTCGCAGCACTGATTCTTTTTTTTTTTTTTTACAGGTCCAACCAACTGTACATTTGGAAAAATAAAACTTTATTAAGTAAAATGAACAGATGTGTGTCTTTTCTAAGAAAGACAATTAGAAAGGTTTTGTCAGAAGGAATAATAGCGGGTATGGATTTGCTTGCTTTCAGTGTTACGATACTTGAACTGTCAGTCAACAATTAGCTTTTTTCTTTATGTGACTGTTGTTTGTTCCTTGCTGCAGCTTCAGTTTTGAACTGATGCCTGAAAAGAAATGAAGGGGTAACAGGATGAAGGGTGAGATCTCCAAAGTGGTGGGGAGTAGGTTAGAGACCTGCCCTGGACCCATACCTGGACTGCCAGCGGCGGCCATTATTCCAGACACGGCCAAAAGAAGGCAGCCAGCCTGCACTGGTGCTGGAGTTGTGGTCAAAGTTGGCTCCAACTCGATCTGGGGGTAGTTTCTTCAATTTCTGTTTTTCCTCTGTATGATGATAAGCAAACAGCTTTAGAATGAAGCTTTAAATATGCCTCTGCCCTTATTGAGTTGTTTGCTTACTTTCTTTAAGAAATTCTTCATAGGAAGGTCCTATTTGTTTGTTCTCAGAGATGCATTCTTCATCTTGGACCATCCAGGGAGGTGTGGCACCTGGAAAAGACAAGCTCTATTAAAAAGAAATCAAGGGGTTTTTTTGTTTTGTTTTGTTAGCTTTCAAGCTACTGTGAAATATGCCCTGTTACGTCCCCTCTCCTAATTAAGAATTAGACATGTTCAAAAGTAAAACCTAGTAATTCTGGAACCTAGGCTAATTTAGGCTAATTTTCCTCGACTCACCCAGGCTGGAGTGCAGTGGCATGATCATGGCTCACCACAGCCTCCTCCGCCTCCTGGGCTTAGGTGAGCCTTCCACCTCATCCCTCACGTAGTTGGGAATACAAGCAGGGACTGCCAAGCCTAGGTAATTTTTGATTTTTTGTTGTTAAGATGAAATCTTGCTATGTTGCCTAGACTGGTATTGAACTCAAGCAGTCCTCTTGCCTCAGCTTCCCAATGTGCTGGGATTATAGGCGTGAGCCAAAACATCCAGCCCCCAGACTAATTTAAAGCAACATGCCTTACATGTGGTACCCTGTTTTGCAAATAGCTGTGAGGCATAATTGATACAGAACAAGCTATATCCATTGAAATTTGAAAAGTGAAGGTGGCCAGGCGTAGTGGCTCACACCTGTAATCCCAATATTTTGGGAGGTGGAGGCAAGAGGATTGCCTCAGTCTAGGGGTTCCAAACCAGCCTGGGCAACTTGGCAAGACCTCAACTCTGCAATAAATCAAAAAATTAGCTGGGCATGGTGGTGCATGCCTGTAGTTCTAGCTATTGAAAAGCTGAGGCAGAAGGATGGTCTGAGCCCAGTAGGTTGGGGTTGTGGTGGCCGGGAGTGTGCCACTACACTCCAGTCTGGGCGACAGAGTGAGACTCCAACTCAAGAAGAGTCAAACTATGACCACAATCAAGACAGTGAACGTCACCGTGCCTCCCCATCAAAATCCTCTCTGGCTCAGGCCACCACTGCACCCACATTCCATTGCTTTATTGGTTTGCACTTTATACTGATACTCTGCAAGTGAAATGTATGCATTGGGGGGGTCAACATAATTGAGACTCGTGTTCCATCTTAATCACTTAAAACACTGTTCCATTGTAATTCATTTACAATGGACATTGTAAATGTTGGTGGACATTTTTTTCCAGTTTGGGGCTGCCACAAATAAAGCTGCTCCGAAGGTTTGGGTACCAGTCCGTTTAGACAGGTTTTTTTTCTCTTAGGAAAATGGTAGAATGGCTGGATGATATGGTAGATATATGCTGATTTGCTTTCCAAGCAACTACCATCTTACATTCCCACCAACAGCGTATGGGGGTTTGGATTTTCATATCATTGCCAAGTACTTAGATCAGTGTCTAATTTTTGGCCTAGTATGTATATAGTGGGACCTCACTGTGGTTTCTTTTTTTTTCTTTTTTGAGTGGGAGTCTCACTCTGTTGCCCAGGCTGGAGTGCAGTGGCACGCTCATGGCCACTGCAGCCTCGACCAGCTGGGCTCAGGCAATACTTCAGCCTCAGCTTTCCAAATCACTGGAACTACAGGTGTGTGCCTACACTGTTAATTTTGATTTATTGTAGAGATGAGTTCTCATCAAGTTGCTCAGTCTGGTCTTGAACCCCTGGGCTCAGGCAACCCTTTCACCTCTGCCTTCCAAAGTGCTAGGATTGCAGGTGTAAGCCACAGCACCTAGCTCATTGTGGTTTTAATTCGTGTTTCCCTGATGACTTACGATGAACATCTATTCATTAATTGGGCTGTTTCACTGAGTTTTCTCAAAGTTCTTCATAATCTCAATACTAGTCGTTTATCAGTCATAAATGCTTTAACAAGTAATTATGTCTTAAGAGTTAAAGAAACACTGCCCTGGACCTTACCTGAGTGAATGTTACCAACTCCTGGTATATCCTGTAGTTTGAAACGAGGAGAAAAAAATCTAGTTACAATGAAGTTTTGGTGTGCTTTAAAAAAAACATAAGTTAGGAAGCTCATAACTATAGAATACTTATAACTATATAGAATACTCATGTAGATGAGTATAAGTGTATAGAATACTCATAACTATATAACCATAGAATACTCAAGATAAATGCAAACTTGCAACCATTGCCACAATTCTAATTCTAAACCCTAGTAAAGACAGTCCTGCCCTCGATAGGCTCAGTCTTAACAGCAGAAATGTCCAAAAATAGGGTGACTACTACATGCAAGGTGAACATAACCTTGCCCTCATAGACTACACATAGTTGGGGAAGACAAGCATACGTTACACTGCATTTGCAGCTTCTCATGGTGCTTGCTACATAAAATAAGAGATGGCCTACTCAGGTGAGCCATCTATGGAAAAGTGACATTTGAGCTTTATTAGCTGACCAGGGAAGGAAAGCATATTTTATGCAGTAGCAACTATGTAAAAGCATGGAGCAGCATAATCACTACAGCTGAAGCTTAAAATATGAGCGCTCAGGTGAAGCCATGATTTTCTGTGTTTGGGGCAGGATTGCAGGGGAAATAGGAATTGTCCAAAGGCTGGAACAGAGGCAGGCAGAAATTAAATGACTATCTATTGACAGGATATGGGAGATGGAGGAGATAAGGATCTGCATCTACAGTGACTGGAAATACAAGAGCAGTGGGGGTTAGTTTCAGATGCTTGGAATATAAACGTTTTTTGAGTTGAAGTCTCACTCTGATGTCCAGGTTGAAGTGCAATGACAGTCATGGCTCACTACAGTCTTGACCTGGGTTCAGGTGATCCACCTCAGTTTGAGTAAATGGCACTACAGGTATAAGCTGCCACATCTGGATAATTTTTAAAAATTTTTTATAGAGAAAAGGTCTCACCATGTTGCCCAGGCTGGTCTCAAACTGCTGGGCTTAAGCAATTCTGCCTTGGCTTTCCCAAATGCTAGGATTACAGGTGTGAGCCATTGTACCCAACTGCCTGTAGAATATTTAAGGACAAATGTCCTGTATTGAGCTGGAACTGTAAGTTCTGCAGAGGGCAAAATTTAGGAGTTAGCACTCCCAAGTTGACGATGGTAGCAACGGGTATGAATAAGAACACTACAGTGAGGGAAAAGCATGCAGCAGAGACAGCAATGGCTGGCAGAACAAGAATCAGAAGAGAAATCTGAAGGGTCATTGACCCTATTCTGGCTTGTTTAACATTGTACCTGGTCAGGCTCGGTGGCTCAGCCTGTCATCCCAGCACTTTGGGAGTCCAAGGCGATTGGATTGCCTGAGCCTGCAGGTTCTAGGCCAGCCTCGGCAAATTGGCAAGACCTCATCTCTACGATAAATCAAAAAAAATTAGCCGGGTGTGGTAGCGCATGCCTGTAATTCCGGCTACTTGGAAGGCTGAGGCGGAAGGATCGCTGGAGCCCAGCAGGCCGACACTGGGGTGGCCGTGAGCATGCCACTGCTCTCCAGCCTCCAGGCAACAGAGTGAGACTCCAACTCAAAAAAAAAACAAAAAACCACACACATTGTACCTGATGGCCAATGAATGTCAGGGGCTGTCTTGTCTCCATCCAGTCAAGCTCTGGAGCTGGTGTCAGGTTCAGGTATGAGGACTGTTGCTGAGAGCTGGAGGCTACTTGGCTGAAAAGACAAACATGAGCCAGGCTGGCAGATGAGGTCCTTGAATCATGAGGATGGTAAAACCTAGATATGTTCCCAATTCCCAGTAAGAGAGTCCGTAACAACAACCTTACCTGGTTATCCCTTTCCAGCTTCCAGGTGCTGAAGATCCTTCTTCTGGGTCTGTTACTGCCTGAGGCTGAGTTTGATTCAGGAAAAATAGATGTGTCTGGGATGCTTAAGAGCCTGCCTAGGCCATGTCCCTACCCTCCAGACCCCAGTATCATAGGAAGAAAATACTTAGGCACACGGAAGATACTGCTGCTGCCCATCTTGCAAACTTCCCTCCCTCCCAGCCCCAACTACATCTTCACTGACTAGGCCTGCCACTTGGCAGACAGGTAAGGGAGTTCAAGCCAAGCAGATGAGGAATGGAGTCTGAAAGTTCTCTTAGAAGCACTGGTTTGTGAAATGCTGGACCTGAGAACGCCAGGGATCAGTAGATTTGGATACTGCTCTTGATCCTCCGAGGGAAACCAACCTCTAAGACAGACCGAACCACCTCCTGCCGGCTCTGCTCCACCTCACGGATCTGAGCTGCCATCTGTGGGAGAGAAGCTGCATAAGTACAGGACCATGGGGGATGGGTCCTCCAGAGGCCTTTCCTTTTTTTTTTTTTTTTTTTTTTTTTTTGAGTTGGAGTCTCACTCTGTCACCCAGACTGGAGTGCAGTGGCATGCTCAGGGCCACCGCAGCCAGGCAGCCTCAACCTGCTGGACTCCGGCTATCTTTCCGCCTCAGCCTTCCAAGTAGCTGGAACTACAGGTGCGCGCTACCATGCCCAGCTAATTTTTTGGTTTATTGTAGAGATGAGGTCTCGCCAAGTTGCCCAAGCAGGTCTTGAGCCCGTGGGCTCAGGCAATCTACTCACCTCAGCCTCCCAAAGCACTGGGATTACAGGCTGAGCCAACTGAGCCCGGCTTTTTTTTTTTTTTTTTTTGAGTTGGAGTCTTGCCTTGATCTGCTGGGCTTAGGTGATCCTTCAGCCTCAGCCTTCCAAGTAGCTGGAACTACAGGCATGTGGCTAATTTTTTGACTTATTGTAGAGATGAGGTCTCACCAAGTTTCCCAGGCTGGTCTTGAACCTCTGGGCTCAGGCAGTATTCTGGCCTCAGCCTCCCAAAGTGCTGGGACTACAGGTGTGAGCCACCATGCCGGGCAACCTTTCCTTTAACTTACCTCTTTGATCACCTCATCCTCTTTTTCTTCGTAGGAATCCAAACCTTTCACCAAAGATTTCTTGAATCTAAAAAGAAAAGGAGCATTATCAGCCCAGAACCAATTGTGAAAAATTCAGTAGGTAAAAACTCAGAACATCTCAAAGGGATCAGTGGCTCATTAAAAACAAAACCCTAAGAACAACAGTACCAGAAACATCTGTGTTCCTCCTACCCAGATTCACTATAAGTGTTTTGCCACTAGGCATGGTGGCTCACGCCTGTAATCCCAGCACTTTGGGAGGCTGAGAAGAGAGGATTTCCTAAGTTCAGGGATTCAAGACCTGCCTGGGCAACTTGGTGAGACCTTGTCTCTACAGTAAATCAAAAAATTAGCTGGGCATGGTGGTGCACAGCTGTGGTTCCAGCTACTCAGAAGGCTGAGATGGAGGGATCACCTGAGCCCAGCAGGTGGAGGCTGTGGTAGCCATGAGCATGCCATGGCACTCCAGCCTGGGTGACAAGAGTGAGATACCCACTCAGAAACAAAACAAAAAACATACTGATACCTCCCTATTCAAATCCCTTGTATTTTCCTTCTGTCATAGTAGAAACCCCGGCTCCCAAACAACAATGTATTTGCAGTTGTCTTATCCTACAATACACACCAAAAGGTTTCAGAATACCAACACCACTATCAACATGCCCTCCCTGGCAGCCTTGCACATGTCCATACAGGCAATGACAGCCTATCAGAGTCTTGGCTGGATGCCTTGTGTGACCATCCTAGAACACAAGAGGATAAGAAGCCCGTTAGATTTTTGCTGTGGGCCAGGTGTGGTGGCTCATGCCTGTAATCCCAGCACTTTGGGAGGCGAAGGCAAGAGGATTGCATGAGCCCAGGGGTTCAAGACCAGCCTGGGCAACTTGGTGAGACCTCATCTCTACAATAAATAAAAAAATTAAGCCGGGCTCGGTGGCTCAGCCTGTAA